AGAACATATTGGTATTGAAGGAACTAGATACTGTTCCGAAATATCACTTACTCGAACCGTCCTGACCGCGTAGCTCAGTTGGAAGAGCATTGGGCCAGTATTCCAAAGGTCGTAGGTTCGAATCCCACCGTGGCCGGGCATATTTTTCAAGCTCGCCCGGTGTGGATATACACTCAGAGTAACATTCACAAATATCATATTCACCTGAGTATACAACACCAACACAGAAAAATCATATTACTAGATTATATTGGTATCGAAGGAACTAGATTGTGTTCCGAAATATCACTTACTCGAACCGTCCTGACCGCGTAGCTCAGTTGGAAGAGCATTGGGCTAGTATTCCAAAGGTCGTAGGTTCGAATCCCACCGTGGCCGGGCATATTTTTCAAGCTCGCCCGGTGTGGATATACACTCAGAGTAACATTCACAAATATCATATTCACCTGAGTACACAACACCAACACAGAAAAATCAATTTACTCATTTAGTAAATTGTAAGGTCGAGCTCATGCTGATAAAATGGTGGTCTAATTCGCTATAGACGCATTTCAACCCTTTATTCTTGAACAACGCCACTAACATTGGTCATTGTGCATGTAAATGCAGCATATATGTCAACCTTAATTGGTGATGTGCTGCCCAGATCTCAGGTATAGAGCAGTCTTGACAAACCCAAAAAGGTTTGAAAAACGAACAGTGGCATAGCTGGGGAAAATTGACATGTCCTGCTCCTTCACTATTAGGCCCGGAAATTCTAGGTTCAATTTTTCAATTTTGGAAGTCTGGAATGGCCATTTTCTAGCTGCGATTTCACGGTCAAATTTAGTAAGAGGCAAAGTTTTTAAATTCCTTTTTTAGAAAACAATTTTGAACCTTTTTGAAATTCGCATTGCCATGATTCATGAATTTTAATCACATTCACTATAGATAAATTAATTCGGTTTCTCTAACTTCTCTATGTACAGCCGATATGATAGTTTTGTCATTGTGCAGTATTTATCCATTTTATGTTAGCAGGAAATGCCGGGAATCTACCTGCTTTTCTCTTTTGAGAACGAAACCTACGCTGTTTGTAAGGTTTATTAGGAAGATATTTAAATTATTTTAATTAACTCTTTCGTTTTAAACTTTTAAACAAAGACTGCAAAAGTATGCATGCAGCGGAACATTCCATAATCCAATTTCTATTTAAATTTGCCGATCTATAGACATAGATGATTTGACTGGTGAAAGCTAGATATCTTGGTAGCAGGACTGCATATATTTCACTTCTAAAAGTATCTGTCGTCTAAAAATGTTATCAATCAGAATTATATTCTCATGCAAATGTACAAGACAATGAATACATATAATTATATTAAATTATCGAAAATCAATATTTACTACAGTTTTCTTGCCAAATTCTTATGAACTAAAATAAACGTGACTTATAGTTCTTTTCTACACCTGATCGATATATTCTACTGACCACTATATGATGTCTATATAGCGATGATTATAAGTAATAACAGCCAAGTTTACAAGTTTTGATATGCCGGATCACCAGAGCATAACGGGCTACAACTGAATCAGTTGTCATACAAGTTATTTTGGTTAGAGTATCCTTGACCTTGTATGTATTACTGGCTTTAAACTATCATTATCAGTGATGAGTGTAATGTAAGTGCTTACCTTCCTCGCTTGCTTCTTCTGAATAGAAAACTCATCTTGACTTAGATTTTCAAAGCGTGATCTATCTTGGTTCAATCAAAGCCAGGCACAAAAATTATTGCAATGAAATGTTCAAGAACGCGCGTTATTGCCACTGTTCCAAGCGCCAAAATGATTTGACGAAATGTTCAAACGAATGAAGATGTTTCTACACTGGACATGGGAATGATTTTACCAGCTTTCGTATGGCTGTTGCTTTAGCCAAGGCCGGGTTCAATTTTTTGCTGTTGGGCTCTGCCGTGACCTTACGATGAGATCACGGCATGACGCACTTTACACCCCACTGAAGTTTTTGTCTTACCACAGAAGACCAAATTGTTGACATACTCTACGTTTTTCAATGCACTAATTTTTCTACCTTGCTACATTGTTCGTGATATATTATAATTCAATAAAACTTGTATGTGATATTAAATGAGTAAGCATAGTATCCATGCGTTATAGCTAGGTATAGTCCATATGTAAATGAAACACGACTGCATACCACGGTTTCTATGTCACTGTCAAGCTTATGATATGCTCTTGCCTCCCACTAGGGTAGCAATTATCTCACTGTTCTAGTTTTAATGATAATAAATCTGAAAATAGTAAAATACTGGCAAATATGCTCAGCATTTGCTAATTAAAAACGAACTTGCAAGTTCACTGCGAGTGCTTGCCATTGAACTAGAAGTAAACTAGAAGGCTGAAGCCGACACGCGGGAAAATCAGCTTTCAAAAGGACTAAGGAGAGTTTGGAGGAGTAAGAAAAATTCAGTCAATTGAGCATTTACAATTATGAGCACTTTGGATATGGCGCCAAGCCAGGTTTGATAAACTTCTTTTAATTTAACTGTTAAACGTAAGTCGTGGGTACTTGAAAAGCATAAGCAAATATATGCATCTAATATTTTCAACATAAATTGTATAATAATTTCTGGGAAGCCTCATAACTCAGAAAAAACAAAAAAGCAGTTACCCGCGGTTTTTTGACCAAATGTTTTTTTATGTCCAGTAATAAGTAGTAATAATGAGGAGTAGTTGTAAGTACTTGAGTGAAAGTTTACAATTAACTGTCGTCTCAGTATGCTCAAAGATGAAAAAGAGAAGGGTGAAAGGAAATTATATGGATAGCATATATCGATATACAAAGTGTATTTTTCAAAACAAAATTGTAAATTGTATCTGCAAAGCACGGCCTCAATACCTCCCCCCCCGTGTTATCATTCCAGTTTACCTTTTGTTCAATGGTTCAACCTTTTCTTGCATGCGATTAATGGAAAGAGGCTCTATATTTAGTATAAACTTTTAGTAGTATGCCATAAAAATATAAAAACCCTGCGTTTGATTCATTACACCCTATAGGGCTCTATCAGTTTAAGTGCCCGTAACCCCAAAATTGATTTTCAGCTTGATGAAAGTATGCTACCAGTGAAACAGTTTGCGAAAAATTTTTTGGGTTTGGTTGATCTGTGCGCACAATCTGATGCGCTTTCGGATGACCACGGAGTTCACTAGGTATCAGGTCTGTAAACCCGTAATATTTTAGTCATTTCACGATCAAAGTGTTGTGTTCTAACGCGGGAAAGTGTTCACCTTGTGAAGTGCGCATATATTTCTTAGAGTTAGGGCGGGTAACGAATACTTTGTACTCGCGGATCGCAAGCACATATGAAATGGCAGTATAGTGACACAAAATTTACGATTCGACTGCAAATAATATAGCGAACGTCTTACGTCTATGTTTAGCAACTTGGGTTTTCGGTGACTATTAGCGCAAACGGTAAGCTTGGAAAATCATGATTTTCGACAAAACAAACGCGCTACGATAATTTAATACAGGGCAAACTGCTAACTCAATATTTTCGAACAAGGAAGCACGCTCTTCTTTAGTAGTATAGAATGTGGTATACTTGCACAACACGGATTTTTAAAGTTGCATATTTCCGTATTCCTATCGGCTTAACGCTACTAACTGCCGTGACGTCACAAATAATGCTCGTTCCAGACCAAGCAGTTAGATATTCCGACCTGCCTCGTACCCAGGCGTTTTGAATAATTATAATACATGAAGTATTCAGGCAGGCAGGCAGGCAGGCAGGCGACGCGCGAAGGGGCTGTTGGGAAGGGTGCGTCCTTCCCGTCAGCCCCTTCGCCCTTCTCTCGCTACTACAATACTTCATGGGTACGAGGCAGTGGTCATTAATTAAATTAAACACGTCACCGCCAAACCAACGGAAACGATAGATTCTACATGAAATCCAACACTGCTATGTAGAATTCTTTCTGTGTTGCTATGTAGATTTATTATGTCTTCAGCTTGACAATCATGACTTGATTTCCAACTCTTAATAAATACTGGAGTTATGCGAAAACTAAATTATTCATGTAGATTTATTATGTCTTCAGCTTGACAATCATGACTTGATTTCCAACTCTTAATAAATACTGGAGTTATGCGAAAACTAAATTATTCACTTGCTTTCTTGTAAATGTTAGGCAGTCACCTGTAACCATGAGCCAGGAATTTCATCGCTGACGTTAATCGTTGTCGATGGCGATGTATATCAGTACTATGTAATTCAACATTTACAAATGCCGTTAAAGAGGGGCCAAAATAATAACCAAGTCTCTGTAATGCAGACCATGTCCGTTTGATTAAAAGACACCACCGCGTCAAGTTTGTCGTTCTTGGACGTGAGGGAGCGGAGATTACAAATTAAAAGGTTTGGTAGTTTGGTGGAGGGTAACGTAGATACAAATTTTATGCGTTCAAGTGTATTAATTTTATGGACTGAATAAGAGTATCGTGATGGAGTCGATTCTGGTAGATCGCTAGTCGGGGAAAGCATATATAGGAATACGTGTAGAGGAGGGCTTAAGGGAAATACATGGAGTGGAGCTCTGTTTAGAAGGATTTAGTAAAATCTGTTCCGGTGGATCTGGGAAGATAATCGGGGAAAACTGGACGAGGGTAGTGGGATTTCCATTAACGGCCTTGGATAAGATAGGGGTCGCCATGGGTGTAAGCTGTACGTTTGGAGCTGCGGAGGTTGGGCTGTGTGGACGTTTGGTGGCAATGGTACTTGCGCTCAGGATAAAAAAGAGGCAGGTGGCAAATGGCTACTAGTAGTGGTTCTTAATACCGAATGTTATCGAATGTTCTCAATGAAAATACACCCCATCGAATGGTCCGCCCCTAATACATAATATTTCTAAAATCCATATATATAGAATAGTCGTCGCTTGTAAATTGGCCAATTCTACGTTTGAACCTCTTAGGTTTATAATTAAAACGCCGGGATTATTTTCATTATAAAACAACAAGTCAGCACTATTTAAAGTACGAAAATGTCGGCAAGTGAATGTCATTTAATTCTGCCTAACAGAAGCTACAAAACTAAGGCGCTTTTTACAATATTTCCAAACGTTTCCCGAGAAAGACGGCGTATACATACGTATACATACGTATTGAATCATTTGAATGCTGATTAAAAAATTCCATTGCTAAACGGGTGAAAACATATTCATTGCACAGATCTAAGGCTATTATACTTTAATTTAGGGTATTATAATTAGTTGGGGTAGTAATCCTGTGTTTATAAAATACTCCGTCGTCCTTCGTCTGTCGCCCGCCGTCCGTCGTCCCCCTTTCTGATCTACACCCGTTTCTGCGTTCATGGATTTTCTAGTTATTTGCCAGCCTCGTACCCAGGCTCTTTAGTAATTAATAGCGTTTAGAGCTCTGGTCTGGGTGAGCTACCCCGCGCGCCTAAAAGCTCACCCAGAGCTCAGAAAGCTATTAATTACTAAAGAGCCTGGGTACGAGACTGGTTATTTGCCCGAATTTCATTTTGAATGTGTGTGTGTGTGTGTGTGTGTGTGTGCGTGTGTGTGTGTGTGTGTGTGTGTGTGTGTGTGTGTGTGTGGGGGTAACTGCCTCAAGTGCACATGAATTTTCGAATTCGGTATGCGCGGTGGTGAGAAATATAAGAAAGAAACATATTCCGAATAATAATGCCATCATCTTGTAAACTCAAGAAATGATTTATTTAGATGATATTTAGACTCTATTTTGGTTTGACAATGTCAATGACCCTGAAATAGAGTCGAAATATCGTCGCCATAATTTGTGTCTTGTGAAATGAAATTTTTTATTAAGTCTATACACAAAGCAAATTTCCTAACAGGGGCCAAAATTTTCCATGCAGAGAGGTTAATTTCCTAGGACAATTTTTCCAGTGCAAAAATAACTAAGTAAAAGTAATTTTCTTTTCTATGCATAGCAGTATAACAGTCAGTGTGACCAGACGTGGTAATTTCATTACTACCGTGGTAATTTTTCGTCATTTTTGGACAATTGTGGTAATTGGAAATTTGTGGTAATTACTACGGTAATTTCAGAACTACCGTGGTAATTTGTCGTCAATTTCGGCCGATTGTGGTAATTTGAAATTTCCTGACCTTAAATGTACAGATTTTGTGAAAAAAACCCTAAATTTTACAGATTTTGGTGAAAAAAAACTGGTTTAGGCGAAAAAAACCAGTTTTGGCGTTGTTTTACTTATTATTTTTCCGGAAAAAATTTTTTGACCCTAATTTACGAGGAAGTTGTCCGGAAAATTTTTTGGGGAAATTCCCCCCCCCCCCGCTCGCCAACATTTTTGGGGAATTTTTGGAAAAAATACGGTAAAATTGGGAAAATATAGCACCGTGGTAATTTCAGACCGAAAATAGTAATTTTTGAAACCGGATGTGGTAATTTGCCCTGAAAAAACCTGGTCACACTGATAACAGTGCTTGTCAGTATTTGGTAGCCAAGAAATTAAATTAAATTCTCATATTACATTTCTGTAGTTGATTATAGGCATTCTCTGTATTGATTAATAATGCAATATGATAGCATCTTTTCTGACGCCCACGTTCTCCATCCATGACCATAATAAATTTATTGTTGATATGTTGACTATGGCGCGTGACTTCAGCAGCTACCTGATAATTCTCATCGCCATAATATTTCTCATATTGCTATGGAAAGCTGTAACTTTGTTATTCAGCGAATCACAAATTCCAAGCCCTAGGGGAAATTGGTTACTTGGGCAACTATTTGAACTCAGGAAAAGTAAGGATGTGATGCAAACTTTCGTCGAATGGGGAAAAATCTACGGACCGATTGTTCAATTTCGACCTCTGGGAATATTTGGTAAGCATGTTTTATTCAGATGATATAAGCCATATATACATACATAAATTTAAGTCTGCAGGATTAAATTTTAATAATTTCGAAATTAAGTGCATCCTTTGGCTTTGGTTTCCGACTAAAGTCCACAACACTACGACGACGCAAATTTCGAAACCGTCGACGGTGGAGCGCATCATTAATTTCGTTCCTAGATCGCGTTTGCTGTAATGAGCGCGTGGAACCATGGCCATTTGCTGACATCTTATACGTATATAATCCTATAGTAATTTTGTCCAGTATGGCGTTCCATAGCCAATTCGGTTTACTGGTTATAATACCTTTCACAAAATTGTTGCAGTAAATACCTCTTAAAATTTATCATTTTAACTTTGAAATATATCTTAAAAATAGGCTATTTCTAATAATATTTCTAGTTTGAGAGCTTTGACATAATGTAATGTGCCTATAATAATATTTCTATAAACCTTGCAATTTTAATTTTCGTAATTTAAGAATGATTACACAATTCCAGTCCATGACCCTGGCTGGCTAAAGCTAAAATTGAAATATGATATATATATTGAGGAAGAAAAACATATCAAACTCTTGTAACAACAGATATCGTGTTACTGGCGAGTTTTTTTCGTTATCGCACTTCGTACGTTAAAAATACGGTTACGTTTAATACCAGAGGAATATGAAATTTTGACGCAGTGAGTATTGGGTGAATAGGTTTTCGGATCGTCGGATTTCACAGAAAGAATTGTTCGGATTTCGGATCTGGTGACTATTTTTCACGGATTTGCGGATCTTATTAATACAGCGGATTGCGGATTTATCTAATATTTTGGCTCGGATTATGGATTTAGCTTGCAATTTTGTTCGGATCCTGGATTGTGACTTCATAGTAGAGCTTTTAGCGGATTCAAATTTAGACAAGACCATTGTCGGATCGCGGATTTGTTTTCAAATTTGGGCTGATTGGCGGATTTATATACTCCTATTCACCCCCCCCCCCGTGCATGTTATCAAGCTATTTTGATCGAGATTTATCATATTTTAAACTCGGTCTTTGGGGTTATAAGTTTCTCGCTAGCACAAGAAAACAACGGTAACTGATAGTACGTATGTTCATTGCGATTATAATAGGATTATTTAGGAATTTTTCTTTCGGCAATGGACCATTCCCATATTAATCAAAAATTTTATCTCAACAGGTCTAGACAAAATTCCATCACAGCATGAAAGAGCATCATAAAATTAGTAATTTTCCAAAGTTTCGTTGCGAAATGTTGTAAAATGCGGATAATATAGCCTTGCGAAGTTTGTAATTTTCAGTAATTTTGTATATATTACGCATTTCCAGTTTGTAATACAAAATGGAAATATTACTAATTTTGTGATGCTCTTTCAAGCTGTGATGAAATTTTTGTGTAGACTTGTTGAGTTCAAAATTTTGTTTAATGTGGGATTGGTCCATTTTCGCATTGTTTACCTCATCAACTGATCAAGTTACAGCATGCAGTCGTTGCTCACAGTGAGGGTCCTGAAGGGGGGGTCCCAATCCCATTTCCCACCTGAAATTTTGACAAAATCCCAGTCCCAGTTGGATTTTTATTAGAAATCCCAGTCCAAGTGATTGAAATCCCAGTCAATAAAAAACCCTTTATTTATCGGTACAATAAACAGTTTTAAGACTTTTAAGCCACCGTGTGTGCAAGTGGCACACACTTTATGAAATTGGGGGGGGGTTGTGCCAAAGGCACGGAAAATTTTAAATTTGAATCCCGGAAATGGCATTTGCAGCATTCTGAGACACACATAATCAGAAAACCCAGAATTCCGGGCGCCATAGTATGCCTGTTCGCAGGCAGTGCTGGGAATAATATATAGTTAACAACAAAAATCATGACCAAAGACACCAAAAATGGATCAAAATTGTATTTTAAAATATTTAAACGTAGAAAAATTCGGAATCGACTCGCATTACCTCAATCCCATTCCCATTTTTGAGGACTTCATTTCCCAGTGACCAAATCCCAGTCCCAGCAACCCAAATCCCATTTTCCCAGTCTAAAAAGAGATCAATCCCAGTTCCCATTTTACCCCTTCAGGACCCTCTATAAAATGTCAGACAGGCGGTTTCTTTTGAAATCTGGCTCTGAAAAACAATCTCTTTTTTTGAGTTTGAAATAAGCCTTCATAAGGACTATTGTGTAGAAATGTTATCTATATCCTCACATGAAAAAGATAACCTAATATTCAGGTATTCCACATAGCTATAAAAGGGTGAAATAAGAACTTTCATCTTTGGTTGTTTGTCAGACGTGAGAAACCACATTAGTGCCATTTTGTCGCACATGCTATTTTATAAAATAAACTTTTAGTTCAGAAAATTACAAAGTTTCCCATAGACATTATTAAAAATGTTCTAGTGAAGCGATTTCATGATAAATAAGTGAGCAATGGGCCAAAAGAACGGCTAAGGTTAGTTTGTGTTAGGACTTCAATTTCATGGCTTCCTGCAAAGGAAGACATTTTGCAAACCACCATCGCAACCTATTTTGATAACTTTTCCTTCTGATTCAACGTGTAGTTACTAGAAAATGATATTGCATCAACATTATTATCTGCTTTAACGATTTAAAGTTTTATAGGGGATATAAAAAAAACAGTAAAAATGCATTTTGAAAGCTTTACAACTCAAGTGCAGACTTTTTGAATATTCGCACACGGCAAGCAAGTGCGTTTATTCAATACACTTATTTTAAACCACAATACGTCTGAAACGAGTTGTCATTTTAACACTAAATTGATGAAAATAGATATAACAGTGATTTTGGAATATCCTACTTATTTAGTGTAATTTAATACTCAAAGTATTCTTGCCAAAAAGGTAAAAAAGATCACGTACGCACACAGTAAGTGTCGTTTGAAATATAATTTAGCTAAAATAACAACTTGAACAAGAAGACCAACAATGGGGTCACGAAAACAGTCAAAGTTGTGCCCAAAACACCCTACTCAAAAATACCCTTTAAAAAATCGTATCTGCTGACTTGAGTTCCGTGTTCATCTTTCTTGTGATTTCCGACTTCTATTTTTAATAAAGTTTGGAGAAATCCTCATCTTTTTGGCTGAAAATCTCACAAATGGTTCACAGAAGAACTTGGCCCAAAACGTCAATACATACGTTTTGCTTTCATGCCAAATTTTCGTTGTAAATCATTCAAAAACGTCTTCTTTTTTCTCTTTTAAAACTTGCTGTGAAATCCTTCTTTGCAACAATATTGCCATTATTCATTATTTTTGAAAAACTAAGGTTTTAAACTTGAAAAACTTTGCGAGTTTTTGGCCGATTTTCTTGCATGATACACCGTTGGAAAGCTCGAATTTCGCGTTCTATTTTCGTATCCGTTGCTAGACAACCCAATAAACACATGCTCAAATATCATGCCCGCAAGTTGAGGTGTCATTTGAGGGCATATGCGGGCGCATTGCCAGTTACCCACTTGCCAATCTCAGGGCGCATCCAGGCGCATTGCCAGTTAATGAGTCAATTAATAACTGTGAATTATTACAAATTATATTTGATCATACTTTCTTCCAATACAATGGTCAATGGCATGTAGTAAAATTTTAGTATAGTCTAACCATATAAATGCATGCCCATCTATACTTTTCACAATGTGAATAATATAATTTTCTTTTTTATGTATCAGATTAATCTCCTCTTGTGTCAATCTGTTTCTATCTGTTTCTGAGATACCAGTATCCTCCAATTCTTCTAACTCCCAATTTAAACCAAGAGAATTTGTATTAAAAAAAATTCTCCATGCTGATTGGTTGCGCTACCTCGGATTATATAGAGAAATACCATGAAAGAAATACATGTTGAATAATTTCGTACACGAGTGAACATTTCCTCACATTTGTTCTAGGCTATCAGCTCAGTAATCGATGCGAATGTGCATGCGTTCTTTTCATATTTTTTGAGAACTATTTGCATAACTCAAGATGGCGGCAAACAACTCAATAGTTGCTGAAGCAGTGCTGGAAGATAAATTGGCTGATTTTTGGCCCGATTATCCTTGCCTTTACGATGTACGATTTCCTGAATTTAAGAATCGGGATAAAGCCATTCGAGAACTGGCCGAAAAACTTTATCAGTGCTTGAAATCTCTATTAACCACTATACTTTTATATAGTGAAAAGCAATAATCACCTAAAAGCGTTTTTTGAAAATTGTGGTAAGCAGTTTTTTTCTGGATCTTGTCTAAAAGTACGAATACGAACAACCACAAGTGATTTCTGTGTTTAAAAATCATTGATAATAATAAAAATTATTTTAAGGTGGCTCCCTAGGGTTTTTGCATTATATTGCACTATAGTATCCAGAAAACTCCTGTTTCTTCAGCTAAATTAAACAAAATTAAACCTAAATTTCTCCCTTTGTCTTCACTAATTTTTTTTAAACTTTGCACATTTCTTAATATTGGCTTAACAAAAGTAGGGAAGGGAATTTTTAAAATTGCCGGAAAAAGACAAATTTTGAGCTTTATCCAAGCACACTGTTGCAACGGTAACAGACTTTCAGAACAAAAGTAGCAAATTGTTCAGGAGAGCATTGCAGGGTTCGAATTAATTCTCAAAAAATGGTTTGTGAATTTATTTTAAGGAAATTTTAAGGAATGTTCAAGGAATTTTCACTAAATCTTCAAAATATATGGTCCATCACATTTACAAAGAACTGAATTTATTATTGTATATTTTTATCAATTTGAGAGACTTTGGATTCGTGATTTTTATCAATTTTTTTTATGAAATTGCTTCGTGAAAAATGGAAACTGATTTGTGATTCATGAATTGTTATTTTGAACCCTGCATTGTTAATGTGTCCAATCAGCAAATTTTGTCTTCATGTGATGTAATGTGAAGAAACAGCGGTTTTCTGGATACTATAGTGTAGCATAATGCAAAAACCCTAAGGAGCCACCTTAAAATAGTTTTTATTATTTTATCATGGTCACTCGTGTGTACTTTTAGACAAGAGCATCGTGTATGAAACATGTATTTTTTATTTATTTTCAAATAATCACCTAACTATGTGATTATACTAAAACAATTATTCACCTCAGGCTCAGCAAATATCATTGAATAAAAACCTTGACTTCGTCTCGGATTTTACTAACCAATATTTACCTCGTCTTCGGCGAATAATTGTTAAACATTATATAGCTATATTTGTTTTGGAAAAAATATGTTAATTTTTTCAACTTGGTCAAAAAGGAATTCTTTTTTTAATTTATAATAAATTATAATGCCCGTATATAAAAATAATAAATAGAATTCATTGAAAAGTAAAAACAATACTATATGCATGCATGCATGTAATACAAATAATAAAAAAGTTATATTATAACTTAATTAAATATAAGTTCTTACCTTTAATTGTGTGTAGGGTGAAATTTTTGGGATATCTTCCAAACTTTAGTCATTTTTGTGACATTTCCATTTCACTGACTCAAGTCAGCTAGTAGTGTACATGAATCATCTTTGGCAAGTGGCATTGATATATCTCTTTGGCTTGTTTCACGCTTCAAAAACGATTTGAGCTTCTAAATAAGTCAAACGTATTGTGGGTTACTTAGTGAATTATACAAGAGGTCTAAGCATAAAATACAAGAGTAAATAAATTATACATAATAGTAAATACTAGGGCTTCCAAAAACATCCATGAAATATAACATGATTGTGCATGATACATTTTTAGATGAATTTACAAAAGTTCACAATCTGTTGCAGAACACCAGTTTTTATTCGTTTTGATTTACTTATTATTGCGGTGCCCGTGCCATTTTTGGCACCGCATTATATTCTGCCTGTGAGTTTGTCCGTTTGTTAGTTTTTTTCGCATCAATACGTTTCCTTAATCGCCTACCAAAAATTCCTTGCACGTGCTCGGAATTTATTAATTATTATTAATTGTGTACTCTCATGATGATCGACTGTTTGCTCAGCTTTATCTCTGGTTTTATGCATCAAACAAGGACAAAAAATACCACTGTTCGAATCAGCGTGAAAAGTTGTGTTTACGGATGGAAAATTGATTTCAAAATTGACTTCTATTCTAGCGATTTGTCGCCTTTGAAAGACAAAAGCTGCTCAAAATAATCCTTCACGTTTTCCGAATTCCTTTTTTCGAGGAAAGTTTTCTTTCGAATTAATCTCGAACTTTCACGATTGACTTTTTGCTGCAACTTATCTCTGGTTTTATGCGCCCAATAAGGACAAAAATACCACCGTTTGATTCAGTGTAAGAAATTATACTCACAGAAATCAAATGTATTACTAAACTACAGTATTCTAGCGATTTATGGCCTTTGAAAGACAAGCGAAATTGTATTGTTCACAAATCGCTCAAAATTATTAAACTAATTAAAAATGCAATGCATT